AAAATGTGAGAAATACATAAAGTTTTTAATTTAAAGATTCCTTCTTTAAATTGTATGTTAATAATGTGAGCTAGATTTATTATAAAATTAGAAACTTTTTATTACAAATTCTGATATGTATCAAATCCACAAGAAGGCATATTTTTAATGTTATGTTTAAATATTTCAAGGACATCATTGAATGTAATGTAAAAAAGAAACATATTCTTATAGATAAAATTAGTAGTAAGGTAATTTATCACCGAATCAGATGTATGAATCTATAAAATATTCACGAAACGATGTAGAAATTAAGAGCGGATCATTTATAAATAAATAAATAAATGTTATTTCGAGTTTTTTGTTTATCATTAAATTCATCTATAGTTATCCATGTGGCCTTGTTTTTATTGTTGGTCGAATTTATTTTATTGCAATAAAAATTACTTTTTGTATTTCGAACATTTTTATATTTGCAGTTTAGTTTGGCGTTTTTATAATCTACTTCCAAATTGGAATAGTTGCACTTTATATAACCTGTTCAATTTAAAATATTGAACCTTTTATTAATACTATTTTTACATTTATCTACTGACAATTCCTTGATGGTATTGATTATTTTGAATTTTGTATTATTTGTATCGCTTAAAAATGCCTATGGCTTTATGACAAACATTGTCACTTGTCAAAAGTCATTCGTCATCTCTCAGTTCTCTCGACTACTGCCATTAGCTTTATGTTAGTGAAGGTGGCCATTTCAGGGAAACTTTTCACTCTTTTAAAAAGTATTTTATTAAAGTTTAAATATTACGATCTGATATTTTTTTATTGTTGAAACGAAGTAAACTGCTTCTAATAGAATTCGTGTGGTTCTACCTTTAAGTCCACGCAGCGCAGGAAATAAAGTCAAGAGCCCCGAAAAAAGGTTTTGGGGCCCCTTTGAGTTGTAATTAGTTAAAATCCTTTAAATTAACTTTAAAATAACCAAAAAAGGTTGACAGCTGTGTGCACGTAGTTTAGATTCAAAAGGAAAGACTTGTATTTCGTGCAAAACTTTTTAATTAATAAATGCAAAGCGCTTTCGGCATAGTGCCATCATCAGTGCTTATCTACAAAAATTGTGGATGTAAACTTACAATAATTTATAAATATGTGTAAAAATAAAATCTGAGTAAGACTTTTAAGTCAAAAGTTAAAATTATATATGTAAGGTAATTTTGAACAAATTAACAATTAAAAGATAACAAACAGAGTGACATAACCCAGTGTTGGGAATAGTTAGTGTGGGATAAGCCCCTAAAAAATCACATCTGATCTCCAGAAGCAAGTTCACTATTCGCATTGAGTACAGTTGAAAATAAGTTAACAAAATAGTTGAAATTTTAAAAAAAATTTACTAATAGAGGGTGACTGGAAAATATATTGAAATTTAAATTTAGAATACAATAGTTAATATGAAAAAGGTTAAACGCAAAAGACCAAAGGAAAAAAACTGAAGGTTTTTTCCCTACATTATAATTGTAAAAAAGTCTACCTACTGTCCACAAACATATCCAACAAGTTCTTAGTCATCCTCGTTCCCAAAATTAGATATTTCAGGATATTCACAACTGGCTAAATCATAATTATTACTATTAGAAATATTTTCAAATTTAAATTGCTTTATACATTCATTTTTATTAATATTGTTTAACCGTGTCCATATGACAGTGGTGACAAGCGACACTTAAAGACGTTGACCTGTCAAATGTCAAGAGAGGAGGTGCGTTCACCTCAGTGTGGGACATGTTTCTCCAAGTGTGATTCGAGTGATTGGAGGTGGTTAAAGGAAATCAAAATTTGTTAGTATTGAATTTAAAGAAATTTTTTCCAAATTTGATTTATTTGTTAGTTAAATTTAAATAAATGTTTATTATGAATTGATCTTTTTAATGATCCTTTTAATGTCAAGACAAAACAAAAATATCACTCGCGCGATTCTGATGTGCCAGCCCGGGCTCTGCAGAACTTTTTTCAGAGAACCGAAGATGGCACAACTGAACCCGCGGTAGCTAGAGGTGAATCTGATGTTTATTTCTAAAAATTCTAAATCACTCAACAAGGGTACTCATAGTTGGAATGAGACAAAATAGAGAACAAAAAAAAATTATAATTATAAAAGTACCATGGTCCCAAAGGTAGGCTCTGATGGGTGAAATCGAGTTCAGGAGGGGATGGCTCTCAAGGCTTGTATTGAGCGACTCGAACTTACATCATCATAGAGGGTTAATTGAGTTGTCTATGGAGTGGTATGAAATTTCTGTTAAGGTTCACTTGAGTGTTGAGACAGAGGATATTGTTGTCTCTTTCAAGGGTAATTTCAACATCTTCATGAAATTTTTTGTGTTCAAGTTGACTAATAATTCGGAGTTTTTTGTTGGGCTAAAATTATGTTGATTGAACCTCAAGTGATGTCCAAATGCAGATGTATCCGGCTTCTTGATGTGCTTCGGATAGGCGAGCAACAAAAAACTCCAAATTATTAGTCAACTTGAGCACAAAACATTTCAACTTAGATTTTCAGAAGATGTTGAAATTACCCTTGAAAGAGACAACAATATCCTCTGTCTCAACACTCAAGTGAACCTTAACAGAAATTTCATACCACTCCATAGACAACTCAATTAACCCTCTATGATGATGTAAGTCTGAGTGTCTCAATACAAGCCTTGAGAGCCATCCCCTCCTAAACTCCTAAACTTTGGGACCATGGTACTTTTATGATTATAATTTGGAAAAAAATTATTTAAATTCAATACTAACAAATTTTGATTTCCTTTAACCACCTCCAATCACTCGAATCACACTTGGAGAAACATGTTCCACACTGAGGTGAACGCACCTCCTCTCTTGACATTTGACAGGTCAACGTCTTTAAGTGTCGCTTGTCACCACTGTCATATGGACACGGTTAAACAATATTAATAAAAATGAATATATAAAGCAATTTAAATTTGAAAATATTACTAATAGTAATAATTATGATTTAGCAAGTTGTGAATATCCTGAAATATCTAATTTTGGGAGCGAGGATGACTAAGAACTTGTTGGATATGTTTGTGGACAGTAGGTAGACTTTTTTACAATTAAAACGTAGGAAAAAAAACCTTTAGTTTTTTTCCTTTGGCCTTTTGCGTTTAACCTTTTTCATATTAACTATTGTATTCTAAATTTAAATTTCAATATATTTTCCACATTTGTATTTTTTTTTTAAATTTCAACTAATTTGTTAACTTGTTTTCAACTGTACTCAATGCGAATAGTGAAGGTGATATAATTCCTTAGTTCAGCACAAGCTAATTTGCTTCTGGAGATCAGATATGATTTTTTAGGGGCTTATCCCACACTCACTATTCCCAACACTGGGTTATGTCACTTTGTTATCTTTTAATTGTTAATTTGTTCAAAATTACCTTACATAAGTATATAATTTTAACTTTTGACTTAAAAGTCTTACTCAGATCCACAATTTTTGTAGATAAGCAGTGATGATGGCACAATGCCGAAAGCGCTTTGCATTTATTAATTAAAAAGTTTTGCACGAAATACAAGTCTTTCCTTTTGAATTTAAATTAACTATTTCTTACCTATTTTTAATTTTTATTTTTTAATACCTTTTCTATTTTATAAATAGTGAAATGTTGAACGACTAGTTCAAACTATAGTTTCAGTCATCTAAAAAATGTCAGTACTGCCCTCGTAACCGTACCCACGTTCGATATATACACTTACAAAATCGATTATAGAGAAAAAAATTTAACGAGCTCCAGATAAAGGTCGACGGGATAGAGAGAGATTAAAATGAAATTAAAGACTACATACCAACGAACAGAAAAAGCGTCTGAATTATATGTTTATCGGGTGATTTAATAACGTGCCAATTATTTGTTTTTGTCGATTTTTACTGTTTTATTTAGATCGAAAAAAAATTAATTAGGCAAAATACGCGGATGTTGAAGGTCGTCAATTGTATTGGGATTCGTTAAATTTGTATCTCAATTTAAAGTAAAATAAAATTAGCGAAGAAAAATGTATAATGACATATTTAAATAAATATGATTTGTCAGATTAAATCATTAATAAAAATTATATCTATCTAACATACTATATTATATTAACTAAAATTAAATTTATACAATTTTATATAATAAAGCTTCAAAATCAAACCGCGTTTTGTGAAATACGTTGGAGGTGAACTAGTCTTTTAAGGATCAAGTTATACCAATGTATCAGTTAAAAGTCCCAGATCTTGAAGATATGATAAATATGACAGATTTTGTTTATTTCTTTCTTGACTTCTAATCAACTACCTTACATACGTTTTTGATATTTTACAGGCGCATTCTCCATAATTTACCGAATCTTCTAAAGCATAAACAAGAAACAAAATCCAGGTCCATCTTTATTTATACCGAGGATAAAAAGGAACAAATTCTAGATAGAATAAAAAGATGTAAGGATTTAAAGCATCAATTTGAGGGAGTTCAATTTGAAATTGAATTGCTTGATGTCTTTGACGAACAATCGTTAGAAATGGATGTGTTTGAAGACATTTATTTTGAAGTACTCGGGAAATTTAGGACATTATTGGGAAATTCAATCACTTTAAACAATTAGTGGAACGCAGATTACAAGTAGAGTCAAATAAATATTAGTAGTTCAGAGGCGTTGATAAAATTGGAAAAAAAGGCGTGCTCAATTTGTAACTTCAAACAGCAAGCGATTGTTGTAAATTTTTATTTATGGGTGTAACTGATAGAAGGGAAACTCCAAATAAAGAGAGGTTATGTTGTAATTGTTTAAGGGATGGACATGCGGAGTATTCTTGGCAGGCCAAGGGATGTGGCCAGTTAGGCCGAAAACATGTCTTATTACATTTAGAACCAACCTTGCAGAATATTAAAGCTGCGCTACTGGTATAAAATGATATTGGAAATAATACAGGAACGAGCAGTCGAGATCACATGGGTAATACCAGGGCTATGGAGGTATTAGTGTTCACTGCTAGGGTACAAATTAATGATAACGAATTTGGGTGTGTAGGGTATCCTAAAGGTACGAGCAGTCGGAATCACATGGATAATATCAGGGTTTTTGAGGTATTATTGTCCACAGCTAGGGTACACATTGAGGATAAAGATAGGGAAAAATGGGAGTTATTAGATAACAGCTCACAATCTTCATTTCTAACAGAGCAATTAGGTAACCGACTAAATTTACCTTTTGGAATTGGAAATGAAGTATTATGTAATGGGTAAGGTAAATTCATGGGGCTATAAGTTCATGAAAATCTTTCCGATAATAGAACAAATATCTGAAAATATCCCTTCGGTAAATATTAGGTATGAGAATTTAAATATTCCGAAGAATATAAGGCTGGCAGATATTTCAATTGGAGAAATAGGAAAAATTGACACGTAAGTGGATGTAGGAGCTTTTTGGAATTTGATCTGCCCAGGAGGACGAAAATTAGATGAAGGAAATACCATTATTAGAAATGTAAAGTTCGGTTGGATAGTTTCAGGGCCAGTAATGGGATTCAGGGATAATTGTAGTAAAAGACAAATCAGCAAATGTAAAATTGCTGCGGATGTTGAGATGTTTGAAAGATTTTGGGCATTAGAAGAGTATTATCATTCTAGAGAGGAGCAAGCTTGTGAGGATATTTTTAGGCATATAACAAGGAGAAAAAATGATGGTAAATTCGCGATATTCTTATCAATGAAACAAAGAGGATTGGGAGCTTTGTTTAGTATAGCAATAAAAAGGTTTCATAGTTTTGAAAGGAGATTTGCCAGGGATACTAATTTCAATTTATGAATGAGTATGCTAGGCTGGGTTATACAAATAAGATGGAAGATTGTTTAAAGAAACAGGGCGTAATCATAGTAATGAAAAGATGTGTATTTGTCTCATCATGAGATGCTCAAGAAAACATCAATTATGATTAAATTGTGGGTAGTGTTCGACTTGCGTGCAGCAACGTACAAGATATGGTTCCGGCAACATTAAGAGGTCATAACTGATAATGTAAAAATGTATAGACAGGTGGAGACATGTGGAAGTAAAGGGAAGGTAGAGTGTATTTTATGGCGCAGTGTATTAACACCCCATTCCCAACATAACTTAACATGGCGAGATTCAAGTAAAGGGGAAAAAGGATATACGATTTAAGTAGGTTGATTTATGGGACGATTAGGAGTATTTTGAAGGACATAATTGCATGTAAAACCGAAGGGATATATTCGGTTGATAGGAAATTTCCCAAGAGCATGAGTTACACTAAGCAATTCATTTTTAAATTGTTTTACAGGATTTGTTTTGAAACACGGCCTTATTAGCGATTTATATTCAGATAATGTAATGAATTGTGTATGAGCTACCAATGAAATTCAAGCAATTCATGAATTTTTAAATGGAAATTAAATTCAAAACAAATTTAGGGGTTTTCTTATAGAGACGATTCGTTGGTATGTTATACCTCTTAGATCTCCTTAATTCAGAGGAATTTGGGAGTCAGTGGTTAATTCGGTTGGATACCATATTATTAAGGGTTTAACGTCTGAGGAAATATACCCGGTTATAACCCAGATTGGAGATTTTATGAATTCACGTCCTATTAGTCCTCTTATTAAAGATCCCGATGATCTAAATTATCTCACAGTCACTGGAATATTTGCCTCAAGAATATATTAGTCAGTATCAAATGAATAGATTGCAAAGGTACCAGATGTTAACCTACCGGTTTTTGGGTAAAATAATCAAAAAAATATCTAAATCAACTTCAAAGTGGGGTTCATGGTTTTAGTAACAGACGAAGATGTACTGCCGTTAAAGTGGGAGCTTAGTAGAATTGCTGAATTACACCCTGGAATAGATAAAGTATGTCGAGTAGTGACAGTACATAAAAAATGCCTATATAAAAGGGATTTAGTTCTATTGTGTACATTGCCTTTTGAAAATGAGTGATTTATGTGCGAGTATAATAAAATAGTTGTTGGGTGTCCTTTAAAATGTGTCCCAAAATTCTCAGGCAGATTCCTTAACCAAAAAATGGAAAAAAAGTTCCTATAGACCTATGTCCTAAAGTGCCCCCTAAGCGAGCAACAGCCTCTCGAAATCATTTTTTTTATTTTGATTTTTTGAATTTTCTTAAAAATGGAAACAAATAAAAGAACCAAATTTTGGCTGTTAAATATGATCAATAATAGTGACCTTTTCACACCTTCAAAAAGAAATTATTTCGTCAGGGGTGTACTTGGGAATTTTTTGAAAATTTTGATTATTCATAACTTTTTTGTGTTTTTGGTAATGACTTATCCATATTTTTTTTTACATTCTACATTGAAAACTACGTCAAAAAGGAATACTTGTTTGATCTCGATTGGAGCAGCCGTTTCCGAGAAAACATCATCCAAAGATATTCGTCCACTTTAGCTTAATTTTCAATTTTCCTAAATTACCTCGGTGAATCTCGTAAATAAAAATAACTTTTTTAGCTCTCTCTAAATAATTGTAGTTCAAATGTCGTGGTGGGACTATTTTTATTTAATAATAAGAAACGGTTTAAAAAAATATTTATTCTAAAAAAACAAATCAAAAAAAATTAAAGCAGATGCTCAATGTGGCGACCATTGGTTTCCACACACAAGCGCAACCGTCGCATCATAGACTGTCTTACACGAAAAAATACTTCAGGATTATTCCTAAGAACTTCGCAATGATGAAAAACTCGTTCTTCCAATTCTTCAACTGTTTCAACAGGACTGGAATAAACCAATGATTTTAAATAACCCCAAACAAAAAAATCCATTGGATTTAGATCTGGTGAACGAGGTGGCCAGTTAACAGGACAACCTCTGCCAATTACTCTAAGGTGCTGTCTAGCTTCAAGGCTGTAATGTGGTGGAGCTCCATCATGCATAAACCACATGTTATGTCTGATTTGAATCGGAATATTATCAAGAAGCTCATGTAAGTTATTTTCCAAAAAAAGCCTGTATGCTGCTCCATTTAACCTATTCGGCAAAACAAATGGTCCAATAAGGTAATTATCAATAACTCCAGCCCAGACGTTTATTGAAAATTTATCCTGGTGGTGACGTTCAACAACCGCGTGAGGGTTATCTTCAGCCCATTCATGCATATTTCGAAAATTTATTATACCATCTCTAGTGAAACCAGCTTCATCGGTAAATAGCACTTTATTAAGAAACATTGCATCTTGATTACATCTTCCAAGAAACCATTCAGAAAAGATAACTCGCGGCTCATAATCAGTAGCTTTAAGTGCCTGAACTTTTTGAATGTGGTAAGGGTACAATTGTTGTTCACGCAAAACTTTCCATACCGTGTTACGTCCGACTCCCACTTCTGAAATTAAATGAGAGAATCTGTGTAGTGAATAGTTAAGAAAGAGAATCCATTGATTTGGGAAATCAGATTTTTTCTGCATAACGCAACTCTTTTCGATACGAAAAGTCGTGAAATGTAAGAGAAGCAATAACAAGTAAAAAAACTAGTTTTATACGATAAGGTACGGGGTAGCTAAAATAATAAATAAGTAATTACTTACCATTTGCTATTTTTCTGGTACTTGTCGATGGGGTTTCAGCTACCCTATCCAAAATTGCTTCTTCCAAAGCAGGAGTTCTCACATAATTTTGTCTTCCACTGTTACTAGAGTTTTTCTTAAATGTACCAGTTTCCCGAAGTCTATCGTCAATTCTAGAAAACGTCTTAGCGCATGGAAGATGCCTATTTGGAAAGCGCTCCTGATAAAGTCTGCGAGCTTCATTGGCATTTCCAGAAGCGAGTCCAAAACATAAGTGCATGTCCGTCATTTCGCCGAATGTGTAATCATTATTGTAGTTATTGTGAGCCATTTTAAACAAAATAATAACAATACAACGAATCGCACCAGAACACTTTTAGAAATAATGTTTAACTGAAGAAACATTTTTATCAGTGAGCGAAAAAAATTATCCATGAAACACAAAAACGCCAAAAAAATACATATTTTTACTTTTTTATTCTAAACAGCTAAATACAAACCTTATGGTCTTCATAATAAATAAATGGGAACTAAATTTTTAAATTTTATTTAGAGAGCTAAAAATAGTATACAGGGTGATTGATTAGTGTGAGGAAGCTCTGTAGATCTGTTATAATAAAAGTAGGCAGCTTTAAGCTTCACATTTTAAAATTAGTTACGATGTGACAGGGTGTTTCATAAGGCCGTGCCAAATCAAAGTTATGTTTTCTAAATGGAACACCCTGTATATTTTTATATTTTTAGAATCTGCTCGATAATCTGATTTCAATGATATATCACACTTGTTATCTAATATGAATAGTAAAGGATCTACAGCTACTCAAAAATCACATTTTTTCAAATTCAGGTGGCTGTTGTAGCCAAACAGTTGGAAATCGAGGAAAACGGCTTACAGTCCCTATCCTAACTTTTTAAGGTCTATTCAGTGACATAAAATACATATTATTTGATACAGGGTGATCAAAAATCCAAAATCACATCCGATTTTTGATCACCCTGTATCAACTAATATTTTTTGCCACTGAATAGACCTTCAAAAGTAAGGATAGGGACATGTAAGCCGTGTTCCTCGATTTCCAACTTTTAGGCTACAACAGCCAAAATTGAAAATTAACCTAAACTGCACGAATATCTTTGGATGATGTTTTCTCGGAAACGGCTGCTCCAATCGAGATCAAACAAGTATTCCTTTTTGACGTAGTTTTCAATGTAGAATGTAAAAAAAAATATGGATAAGTCATTACCAAAAACACAAAAAAGTTATGAATAATCAAAATTTTCAAAAAATTCCCAAGTACACCCCTGACGAAATAATTTCTTTTTGAAGGTGTCAAAAGCTCACTATTATTGATCATATTTAACAGCCAAAATTTGGTTCTTTTATTTGTACCCAAAAGTACAGTCCTGGATTCAACTATTGGTGAAAGCACCCCAAAACAGGCACATGGAAAAGCCTTCATAGGCAGACCATGTCCCAAAAGAACTGGAGAACTACTCTTAATGAATAGGAACCAGTTGAAAGTGATAACAGGGTTCATGACTGGGCATGCCCCAGTAAAGGGACACTTGAACAAAATTGGCATGTACAATGTGGAACTCATGTGCCGACTATGTCACAAGAAACCAGAAACGACCAAACACATACTGTGCGAATGCGAAGCTCTAGATCGCAAAAGATAGGCTCTTTTTGGACAACCCCAGGTTGATCCAACAACGTATAGAACCCACTCACCCAAGGATCTGTACAAACTTGTACAAGGTACAAAGGTGATAGAGTGGGTGCTATGAACTAACATGGGGTAAAACACAATAAGCCAATAGGCTTCAGTGTTATTCGGAGACACATAGTCAGACGAGCCAAGGAGAGAAAAAAAAATGTCTGTTGGCGCAATAGCTCAAAAACGGCCGTTGAGAAAAAAAATAAAAATTTTGTGTACAAATAAGGTTTTTTCAGGCTCAAAGATAACAGCCAAAGATAATAGATCCCAAATAAGTTTTAAAAAATTGAAAATGGCACTGAAAGGAATCGTATTTAATCAAAAAAAGTACGCCTTGAATGTAAATAATGAAAAGTGTCGTTTGATTTGTATAGCTGGACCACCTTAAAAGCAGCCAATCATTATCGTTCAATAACGGTGAAAAATAGTTTTCTCGATTTTCCTCTTGATCCGATCCGAAGCTTCACTTCGCGTCCGATCGGTGTTCTTCGTCACGTTCGTAAAATGTAAGTGCTTAGGAGTTCCCTATTTTTTACAATTTATATCGA